TATATATATATATATATGAAAATGAAACTACATATTGTTACCTGGGCAATATTCCTCAGAATTTTTTCTTACTCTCTTTTAATATGACTATAATATATCAACATTCTTAGACTGGAAACAAAACAAGAAGGACCGTCAATTTTACACGGCCGAAATCCAGAAGAATTGCCGAGTAAACAACTCGATAATTTTCAAGAAAATGAAGAAATATTTGCAGCTTATACTGGTCCCGATAGTGGTCTTACGGCAGTCAATCTTCAACAGAAACATTTAAGTATTAGTGATACTGATATAGATTACATTGATATGTTAGATCAGAATGAACAGTATAGAAGTGGTAAGTTTAGAATAGTGACATTAGTAAAGCATATTTATTTTTATATCGTTCTAAAATAACAATACAAAACTTTGCAGGATCAACAACATCAAATATTAAAATTGCTGGAGTTACTGATTGGTTTAATCCTCATGAAAACGCATATGGAATTGCAACTACACTATATGAGAAAAATCCTACAAATAATACTAATAATGGAGAACCAATAGCCGATTGTTTTGGCATTGTGGCAAGACCAAGCTCTGCCATATTAGCCCTTGCGGATGGTGTCAATTGGGGTAAAAGAAATAATATATTATAAAAAGATATAAGATAGACTGACATAAATGGAAGATAAGTAAAATATAAAAATACAAAAGTTTAGTTTGGTAAATTAATTTATAATTTTGCTATATATTCAATAAAAAAAAGACATCTTCAAATTTTTTCAGATACTTATTAAAAAATCATTCAACAATTCACAGAAAAAATAACTAGCTCTGATTCTTTTTACATACATTGCTTTAGTTATATATAATTAAAAGTAGTAAAACTTGATATTCCAATGATTCCAATCTATTCTTATTAAATATTATAAGATCGATACTTTACAGTTGGAAGTTTTAGGTACAAAAGCGAGTATAGCGGCCAGATCTGCAGTTCATGGAAGTATAGAATACTTGAACCAAGTTCTGTTCTGCCCGTCTATAAATAGCGAAATGACAACAACAAAAGATGTATTTATAGCATTACTTCGTTCATTCCATGCAGCACATTCACTGATTCTTCAGGAACAAGGAATGCTTACTACCTTAACAGTATGCACAATCCTTCCACTGCCAAGTTCAAGTACTGATACAAATATATGCCAGAAGAAATATATTGCCTGTACCTGCAATGTTGGTGATAGTTTAGCTTATGTATACTCAAGGTATATATATCTTTATTATATCCCGAATTATAAATTGCAACACATAATGTGCTAGGCCTTTGATAATCATCTCTTATGTAAAAACGAAACAGGAAAACTGGTGTGAGAGAGATAACACGAGGATCTCATGATATTCACTGCATGCGAGACATGCGAGATGCCTTAGGAGCTCTAGGTCCAGTAGATGGCTCTAATCCTGAATTGAATAACTTAACACTGGCTATAACGGAAGTTGAAAGAGGAGATATAGTATTTTTGACGAGCGATGGAATTTCAGATAATTTTGATCCTGTAGTGGGAAAGTTTGCAGTCTTACCAAATTATAGTAGCGGTGCTGACGCTATGCTAAAGAGTTACGATGCAAGATCAAAAACGCGTCGAAAATCTACAGAAAATCTCCGACACACAGAATCAAGTAATAGTAATAATGTGAATAGCAACAATCTACCAGTAGTTGAAGCTTATCAAAGACATGAACTCACACTACTCAGGATGGAAGATCTGTTGAGACGTGGAGTTTCTGGAGAAGGACCGCCATGCAATAGTGCCAAACATCTGTGCGAACTTCTTTTAGACTTTGCGGTAAGAGTGTGTAATTTTTAAGTAATATTTCTTGCAGCACACTAATTTTTGCTTTGTCCTATAGGTGCGCATAACTGCTGCAAAAAGACGGATTCTAGAAGACACGGAATTGTATTATGCACAACATAAAGATGGTCAATTGATACAGCTCTCAAAGCAAGAGCAGAGATCTCGAAGAAAAAAGACACTAGAGAAGATATCTATGATACCTGGCAAGCTAGACCATGCGACGGTCGTAGCGTATGTAGTTGGATCCTAAATTTCTTCAAAGTGTAACATGTAATCAATAACAATGATAGAGCATAGGTCTTTTTTGTATAGAAATTAATTGAATTTTCTATATTTTTTTTCTAACAGTCTTGTAGTATTAAATAAAAAGAAAATATATCTTTTACACAAGAATCTATGTGTCAAATTATCAGAGTATTCCACACTTAAATAATATTGCAAAATCATCTAGTTAAAGATAAAATAAAATGTATGTAACAATAAAATAAGATGGAGACATATATCCTATTTTATAAATTTATGTAGATGAGAGTAAGTATTTCATCTAAATAATTATGTAAGTTAATAACAATTTAATAACAATTTCGAATATAAATATATATGTAATAGTTTTATTTATAAGTTTTTGTTTTTTAAAAACAAAAATTTTCTTATATAATGTTATTCAAATAATTTCTATATATCTGGTACATATATTTGCTGTTTATTACAACTAAAAAGCACTGATGTGTAAAAGATATTTTAAAATTCTACTATGTGTGTGTGTGTGCTTACACCGAGACGTATGGACTAAACATTACTTTAAATCATTTTGAGAAACTACTTCTCTTTTTTTTAAATAAAGAAGATAATATATGTAATTTGATAATCTAGATAACAGAGAATATATACACTGCAAGTTATTTTATTTCTGTAGATATATACATTTTTTAAATCTTTTATAATCATGCGCGGTTATATCATATGAATAGAAAATATATAAGTAGATATGAGAAGAAGCAATATATGGGATAGCCAATCATTTCCCATTACGCACTATCGAACTATCGTATCGAGAAAAGCGAGAGGCTGATTGGCCATTTTAAGTAAGTCACATGTCATTCCCTAGCGTTAACCATGTATAGGAATCATTACGTTTTATCGCATCCCTTCGGTTATTTCGTACCTCCATGGTTGCAAAAAGTTAATTCGAGGTGTCGCCAATAGCGATAGTGGCGATCTGGGATTTTATAGTCTGCAATGTGCTGCAATGGCAGCCTTGATAAATACATGATGGCCGTTGCCACCGAATAGTGTAACGCGTACATGGAACTGTCGTGTAACTGAAAAGTTTATTATTTTCAGTAGAATATCGTCGTCGCGCGTGCTCCGTGTGCGTTGTTTTCGTTCGGACGAGGCGCGTTGAGCCGCGCCGAGGACGCGAGATCGCACGGAGGGAAATCGCCGCGAGACTTGCGAAAATTCCCAGGAGGAAAACACACGGGGTGGCAAAACCGCGTTCGCGGCGGAGAGGTAATATTGACAATTTTTCGTCGCGACGCTACGCGCATTTTTGCGCGTCAGTCACCAAACACGCGCGTCGCAGCGCCGTCCGCCGGCTTCCCCGGTCGTCCGGAGCGCGAAATTTTCGCCAGATGCTCGCGTTTTCTTTTGTTTACGCCTTGTCAGTCGGGCCTTTTGTTGTGTGCAATCGCGCGCCGCTGGTACCCTTGTAAGTGAGAGTGAGGTGTTGTATATGTGATTCGCTTCGTATGCGTGTGTGTGCGTGTTAGTGTGGCTTGTGTGGCACGTATGCTTGCACACAGGCGCGCCAGTTATAACCTCCAAATATGCTTCCAGCTGTCGAATTCGGGGCCGTGATCGTTTTACCGAGATTTCCCGGTTCCTTCAAATTACTATACGAACTAGGCATTATTATTGCTTTGACATGTAGCAACGTTCGATTGTTCGTGTAATATGTTACACCGTTTTCTTAATCTCTCGTTTATCTCTCCGTTTGCCAAAGCACTTTTTGTAGCTTAAGCTAATTTCATCGCGAAATAATCTGAAAGAATTTTCTAGATTATATTGATTTTTATATAAACATTTTAATATGCATCTGTTATATTTGAGTTTGATATTCCTTTTTGCAGGACAAAAGTTGCAGACAAAATCTGTGCAAATAGAAGTGTAGTGTGGGTAACAACAATAGAAACACTTTTATTAAGAAGAAACAATTGCTTCGATGAATATCTGGCCAGCAAAGGCGTAACGTTGTGATACTACACTTAAAACATTTGACAAATATCCAAGAATGTCTGTGAGTTACTTCTTAGACCTGGGATAGGATGTAATGGGAAAGAAATATTATTTATGAAACAACATTTGATACTGTCCTCTGTGCATATATTGAATGTGCTGTCATGGGCAAACATTGTAACATTGCTGCATTTATAAATGGATGGAATCCTGCGACAGATGCATTTTAAATATAAGTCTGGATATATCCACAATGCAATTGAGCAGTTATTCTTTAATGGATAAAGTAGTTCAAGAAAGAACTACTTTCAATATACAACAAAGTAATGCCTATAATGGCCAAGAATGATTAGTACTGGAGCAAGATCTTTGGAAACATTAACAGTATATGTGGATATAAGCACTTTGTGGAATTAATACAGTGCTGCCTGAGCTTTGGACAAAATACGAAATTATATGCATGACAGGAACAGGAGACGTAGGTCGCAGACGTGTTGAGTGGCGCCGAAACGCAAATACTTTTTGCTGCGACTATTAAACAACTTTGGTAAATACAATATTTCTGTTAATAATAGTTAACATATACATATATGTATACATAAAATTTTAATAAATTTGGACACTAAATACAAAATTTCTTGAAAAGTCAAAACATTTTAACTATATTTATTATTATTATTATTATTATTATTAATTATTATTGGTATCATTTATCAATCTCAATAAATGAAGCATTTTCTCAGGATATAATATATTTTGAAATTTTGAAATTATAATATATTTTAAAAATATATTTTGAAATTTTTTTATAAATTACGTTTTAAACATTTCTGTCAAGATTTATAATAAGTAAACTAGAATTTTATATTAATAGGAAAGAAACAAAATAAGCTGAAAAGGTGGCTAGACGCTGCCCATAGTAAAGAGGGGCTGCGTGGGCATGCAGCAGCCTCAGTCACGCCCTCTTCTTGGGGACTCAGTATCCTCTACAACTTCCCCGAATGCACGTCCACGTAATAATCCAGTTGCTGTTTTGACCCAACAACAAGTAAGATTATAAAAGCATATAGATTTTTTCAATTGCTTATTTTAATTAAAAATCCGTATTTCTCATATTGTATTTTTCTTCTGTACATATATTTTGTCAATTCAAATGTCTATACATCTATTTCATTTAAAATATATAAAAGTTTCAAAATAAATAGATCTTATAAAATTTCTCTGAATGATCTTCATGAATATCACTATTTAATATTTGCCAATTTTATACATAGTTGCAGCAGTTACAACAACTACAAGCCCAGAATACCAGTGGTCAGTCATTAACATTTGCTTTGCAACAGACATCGAGTAATGTAAGTCACTTTGGTTGATGATTAGTGAGTTTGGTTGATGATATTATTTCAATGTTGCTCGTTTTTGCAGCCCCAAGAACAAGGAAATGGATCGACAACTGGGAATCACATAGTCTACGTAAACCAGTTAAATCAGTTGAATCAGAGTACCATAAATCCCTCGGGGACTGGTATGGGCCTACCCCCGGCCACCCCCACTTTTGGGGTGGGCCTTAATATGGGATTGCCACTGTCACTTCTAAATACCAGTCTTACATCTCTCACTTCCAATGTTATCACCACATCAAACCCTCTGCTCAATTTGGGCTTGCCGAGTATAAACACAGGGCTGACTGCGATAAATCCTAGCCTGAATCATTTAAATGCTATTAATTCCAATTTGACGTCCAACATTGGTTCAAACAATATTAATAATGGTTTGTCCAATCTGGGACAAGATTTAAGTAGCATAAATACAGGAGTAAATACTGGTATAAACAGGCTTAATACGATAAATTCTACAAATATTAATTCTGGGCTATCTGGAGTAAACGCGGGACTGACCGGTGTAAATCCAAATTTGACGACTCTGAACTCATCGAGCGTGAATCAGAATCTTACATTAAATACCAATTTGACCGCTACGAATTCCGGTGTATCTGGTTTATCTGCTATTAATCCGAATACAAATTTGACTACTACCAGTATAAATTCTGGTGTAAACCAAGGTCTTAATAGACCTGTAAATGCCCTGGCAACTGGTCTGACGCCGACTAGCTTGAATTCTAGTAGCGCACAGTTTTCATTCCCAACGATACAAAGCATTCAAAGTATTGCACCGCACATTGTTGGATCATCAAACATAGCACATGTACCAAACTCTGCTATATCGCAGCATCCTAATACGAACATCTCGACAATCTCGCCAATCTCTAATTCCGGAACTCTAACGAGTTCCAGCATATTCACAAGCACACCCAGCGAGTCGATTCATGCAACCACTGCAAATGTGAATCACGCTTCGAACGTGAATCTCACTACGAATATAGCACACCTCGGTACAATGCACGCTAATTTATCAAATATATCAACATCGAATGTACATATATCTGCATCCAATGAACCGACTATGTCATTGAGTCATGTTTCTTCTTTAAGTTCCTCCCAGTCGACTGGATTTCAACCACAGCGACAGTATTCGCAGGGGATAAACCCTGGCTTAAGTGCGTCAGTAGCATTAACGGGCACGACACAACCATCAAATGTGGTCAGTACTATGAATACTGTTAAATCTATGCAAAATATTCAAAACCAAAATATTAGTTCGCCGGGTAGTCCATTTTCAATACCTCTGAAGAGTCCGGCGTCTAATATAGCACCACCTACACCGAGTCCTAGCCCTAATCGACTTTTACTTAGAAGTCCGGCTTCAAACTCGATACAATCCAATCGAAATAGTCCGAGTCCGGTCGGCACATCGACCTCGAATAGTAACTTTAATATACAAATGCAAAGCCCTATGCAAAGTCCGATGAGCGTTAGCCAGATACAGAGCCCTGTACTTAGCCCATATCCGCCTGCGAAAAGCCCTCATCTATTAGGCGGGAATAATTCTCTCAACAATAGAAGCCCAGCGCCTGGAGGTAGCCCTGGTCCACCTGTGGTAAGAACACTTATTCTGCATAATATTGAAATTACATGTTATAATTGCTTATTTTAAGTTGGGCTCTTCTGTAGTTTTAAAATGGAATGCGTTAGTGAATTCAATAGAACATTTCTGTTGATATCTCTAATTGTATCTTTTCTCATGAATTTTACTTTCATTTTGTATATTTCGTTATGTTGTTAAAATATATTTTTGTTATTGTTTAAACTTGTCATTTTCACATCACTTGAAGTGCCAGTCGACTGAGGTGTTTAGTTATCTTTGTTACAATCATATTTGATTATGTTACATATAAATTTTTTCCACATACAACAACACAACTATTCATTACACGAAATATGATTCGTTTTTTGCATGCCATTATTTGTACTTAATAGTATACATTAGTAATTCTATATCTGACAATAGGGATAACTAAAGATTCCAGTCAATTGGGAGAGATTACAAGTCTTAAACGATGTGAAAATAATAAAGGTGTACACATAAATCTTTTTCATATTTTATATATCTGTTAAAAATATATGATAAAAATCTTCTTTTTTCTCTGAGAAAAAGAAATTATTTATTACTCTAATTTCCAAAATATACTTAATTTTATATACAAAATATATTTATATTATATAAATAAAAAAATATATAATATAGCTACGTTTCACATATAGTTTATATATCTTGTATATATTTTCTTTATTAGATATTCTTTCTTCTTTGTAAATTTTTGTACTTAAATTTATATTTTTTTATCTCTTTTAATTTGATATGTATCTCCTGTAACTGTTTTTGGATGACCACTGTCTGTATTTTCTTTTTTATACTCTTTTTCCCTTTTTCAATTTTATTTATTTATTTCAAAAAAAGAATATCATCTTAGAGCATATCATAAATATATATATTTATATATTTATTAAAACTGCATTTTTCACGTTCCACACAGGTTAGGCCTAATACACCCATACTACAACAAGGGATGCAGGTGTTACAAATAATTCATGGTACACCACAGGGTTATCAGTCCACCCCAACTCAACTGGTGACTAGAACCCAATTATTTGGAAATCAACAAATCCAAATAGCGGCGGCCAAGCCCGCTAAGCAACCGCCGCAAATTCTACCAAAACCACCAAATCAACAAGCTGCTACTTCTCAGCAAAAGCCACAACGAGCTACTACTACAATCACAAATCAAGTATAGTCCATTTTTTAGTTAAATCGTATTTACGCATCTCTTTATTAGGTTGTTAAATAGTAAAATTAATTGGATATTAATCATATTGTAAATAAATTATTACATTATGTCTTATCATATCTTTAGAGATAACTCAAAAATATTTATAATGCTACACGTTTATATATAAAATATTTTATTCAATCTTCTTTGCTTTTTAATAATATGAGATCTTATATTTAAAATATATATTTCTTTTTCTTTTTAAAGGTAACACAACAGACTCAGCCACAACTAGTTCTTGCTGGACCACAACCAAGTCCCACTACAGCAACAATGATTCCAACGGCGCAAGGCTTGTTATTGAATCAGGTTATTATTATAATATATTATATCTTTTTTATATTTTGATTATATCTCATCTGCATGTTCATTATATAGTTAATGAAAATATATATACATGAGGCCATGTTATATGAGATATTTTGATACGCTTTACATCTATTATATAACTGCTTACTTACATTTCTATTATCACAAAAAGTTGCTTTATGCTTCATTTATTTGTCACATTTCGAATGTAGGTATTGCCGTCAACCGGACCTGTCATTGTACAGCAACAACCAGGAGGCGTTCAACTCATACTAAGGACACCAGCAAGCGCGCAGCAACAAACACATACTGCACAGGTGATGGTTTCATTCGTTCATTCATCTATGCTTCATAATCATGATCATTGCTTATTAAATCTTTGTATTGAAACGACCACGCACTTTTCATTGAAAACAAAATATCTTAAAAATGTTATATACTATAAGAATTATTTATTTAATTTTTTATGAATCAAACAAAATTTCTTTGTATTTTGAACATATATGATATACTGCCCAATGATATTCAATTGTTTTTTGAATTTATATAAACTTAATTTGACAATAATATATAATTGTAGTAACACATTTACAATATTTCAATTAACCTAGAAAAAGTAAAATGAAATTTAGCTGTGTTATAGTTTTACATTTTATATAAAATAGATAATTTTAATGGAATACATATAATTTATTTTGAGATAAAGATCTTTTTAAATTATGGCAACAAGATGAAAGAGAGAGTACCCAATAAAATGAAAGAGAAATTAATTAAATATACTTTATGATTATAGTTAACACAACAACAGTTAGTAAGGGTTGTCACAGCACAAGGTATGCAACTACAGGGGATTACACCTGCATTCTTTGCTGTACCCAATGGATTTCCTCCAACTGCTTCTCCAGTAATAAGACATACTCCATCTAGTCCTGCACCATGTAAGTTTACTATCATATAGCAATATTGTAGCAAAAATAATTATAAGAGCACTATTATTATTATTATTATTTTATCTATATTAAAAATGTATGTTTAAAATGCTAGAAATATTTATAGTCAACTAAATTAAATTCTACATCTTTTTTTTTTTTATTTACAATACAAGAGATATTTAAATATTAAGTTGTTTCAGTGTATTATGGAAAATTTAATATTGATTTGCCATACTTTTAAATTCTACAGCTAATTCAGGAACTGGCAATTCCATCGTAATTCAGAATGCTATGGTACAAAGTCCCCAATCACAAATCGCACAAGTCACTTCTGGCAATACCACTGGCAATGCTTCGTGTACACAAACTGTCTCAGAGCAAAATTTATTGCCGCCTCCTAAGAAGAAAGCGAAAAAGAAAAAAAAGGCTAAACGGAAAGACGATGAACCACCGAAACTAGATCTTGCCAGTATTATGAAAATATCGGGTATCGGGGATGACGATGATATTTTTGATACCGAACTGACAACTGAAACCGAGGTTCCTTGTCAAGTTTCGCAACAAAGTGAAACTAATTCCGGACAATCGTTGGGCCAACTTTCATCGCAAGGAACAATTCCTACTAATTCCACTCAGAATCTAATCCAAGTACCTGCAACAAATACAACGAACACGCAAGCATCTGTATCACAGACATTCAATAGTCAGCTTGTTGCCCAACTTCAGATGCCTGTGCAGAATGCAATATCGGGACAATTGCGATTAGCGGTTGGAGAAGACGGTAAAGTTGTTTTACATCACACCCCGGAACCCAATCAACCTGAAATAGATTCAGCAACCGCGCAAGCTCTGATACGATCTCTGACCCAAAGTAGTGGACAAAACTCGCAGATTATCTCGCAACTTTTCGGTCAGGCGCAAAACACACCGCAGCCTGCTCAAAGTACAACTCAACAGAGACCGAAATTCGTCAAATCACCTTTATCCAGTGGAAATCAGGTCTCTACTAATACCATAAGCTCTACGTGCTCGCAAAATATCATTTGTACCACTAGTCCACATCACAGCCAGATATGTTCGAAACCAATGAATCAGCAAAAAAATATTAATATTGTTTCTCAAGAGACCAATTCAATACCGAGCGTCTGTGTTCAAAACAACCTTGGACCATTGCAATCACTGGAGATACAAACGTCAAAGAATGTAAATGTACAAAACCTAATGCAATCTAAGTCCTCGAATCCTACTTTATCGCAGAGCGGTAATGTTTCTTTGAATACTTCGGATATTTTGTCCGCGAAGCCGTCGCCTACGATGTTTAATATACAAGGTCCTCGAATGTCTAATACGAATCAAACGAATTCTAATCAACAGAATTCCAACATTTCTCTGCAAAAATCTAGTCAGGTACGTCTAACGAACGCTTGTATAACTACGAACGTACGGCAAAATTTGGGAAAGCAAACACAACAACAACAGCATGGGGTTCATATGCAGAAATCATTGCCCGGTAGTTCAATAGTACAAAACGATCATGTATCTAAAGCTAATCAAAGTCTCCAACAAACAAGTCAACAAGAGACTCTAACGCTTCAACAGGAGTCACCATTGTTCCAACATAATCAGCAGATTACTGCGCAAACTGTACAAACTCAAAATGTGCAACAGATATTTGAACAAAATTTGCAGAGTTCAAACATTCATCACAATTCCATGAATATACTGCAGCAACAAAGTTCCTGTAACACTATGCAACAACACGACAGTATGAACGTTTTGCATTCAAGTATTCAACAAAATACAATTAATGTGTTGCAGCAAAATACTGCTGGTAATGTTCAGAATATAGAACAAAACTTACAGTCGGGAACTATCAAAGATATAGCTCATACACAACAGAATGTCATGACAAGTCTACAGCAACAAAACACATCTGCTGTTTTACACAACACGAGTGTCCAGCAAAATGTGAATGTTCAACAGCAGAAAGTAGTGACGGCGAATACCTTCTCTTCCGTTAACGCGCATCACTTTGAATCCCAAAACTCTGCCAATGTTTTACAGCAAGGAATTAATACGCAACAAAATAATCAGAATCAGAATATATTGATTACAACTACTCCTGCTTCTAACACTCCTACCCAACAAAATGAATCTCAAAAGGTAGAGTCCCAAGGTGCAAATATACTCAACTCAGCGGCAAACAACATATTGAACAATGCACCCAAAATTACACCTGAAATTTTAAATGCGTTGAGTAACTTAAATCCTAACGATCAGCTGTTAATCGCCAACGCAAACGGGCAGATGCAGGTGATCAGTCAACAGCTCTTGCAACAATTCCTGGCCGGACAGTTGAATGCGACGAATCAGACGCAAAATCAAAATCAGACGCAGAAGATAGTGATCGGCGAGCCAGATGCGAATAATCAGAATTTGCAAGGTGTCCAGATCAATACTCCAACGAGTCAGATAATCGTGAATAGTTCTGGTGGAGCTCCGACAATTCAAAATAACATTCAAAATATTGTTGTGCAAGCTGCACCATCTCAAATGCCACCACATATACAAATTCAAAATTCCAGTTTCCCTAGTCAATTTATTGACAACTTGAATCAACAGCAAATTAAAAACTTGGGTAATAATCAACCAAAGAAAGCGAAAATCGTGAAGAAGACGAAAGTTGCCGTCACTGCTCAAAGTATTGTGAATTCACAGGTATGTGTAAATAATATAAGCGTATTTTTTATTTTTATATCTTCAAATCTGTTTTATCTATTTCTCGTTACTTGAGATTATTTTCAATAATATATTGACTTGCATTCAAAGTTCTAAAAATGCATTAAAATTAGAAAATCTGCATAGTAAAAGTATTAAAACATTTACGTACATCATGTGCATTTTGGCTCTTACCATGGCACTTCTACTGCAAATTTATTTTTACTTTTTAGACGACGAAGACAGTAACTGTTACTCGACCAACAATGGTCGCGGCGAATACGTCTAATTTACAAAAAGTTGATAATCTAAATAAGACAAACACTATGGTATCGCAAAATACAAATCCTGCTAAAAGCGAATCAGCTCAAGTTATAGCAAATGGTCCTTTGGTTTCGTCCTCTGCTAGCAGTCACGTGTCAGTTCCTTCTAATGGTCAAATGGTACAAAGAATACAAACTATCCAGCTTCCTGCTCAAAAGCAGCAAATGCTGAAAAACATTCAGTCACAGATTCAAACTATTTTATCTCGAAAATCTGTCACGCCAAGTAATCCGACATTAAGGAAATTATATGAGGAACAAGCAAGAATATTAGCTAGTGGAAAGATTGTTAGTAGTACTACTCATCCTGTCAATAGCGTAAGTATATTAGAAATGACAATAACTAATACAAAAATACAAAATAATCTTCGCGCGCGAAACGTGTAAAAAATAAAATTTATGAAATTTTAATTTAATGAATTTATGTATTTAATAAGCAATATTTAATCCATTTTAGGCTGCCGAACCAACATTCAATGTAAGCTTGGTTTCAACAGTTGCGTCAAATGTACATCTACAGAATTCATTTAAGAATCAGACGTCGGCAACTCAAACGCAGACTCAGACTTCCACCATTGCCATGCCAGTAACATCTCAAAGTCTAAATTCAACTACATCTGCAACAATGCCGAGTAATACTAATATTAATTACATTAATATCACGGTAAGCAGAATATTACTATGAATATTTATTTTGTGGATATATTATATGTTTTGCATACACATACATATAATAATCATGATTATTACAGAGCATTAACTGCACTTCGCCGAATGTGCAAGGACAACAACCAACTATATCGAACACTGCGACACAGAGTATACACCAGAGTACGCACACCAAGCAGCACAAGTTTTATCAAAATCATGGGAGTCAGATGTTGAATCCGTCCTCTGCGAATATGCAAATCTTCTCGCCACCGATTACCTCTGCAACAGCAGCTCTGCAATTACAAAGCAACGCACAACAATTGACCCAAGTTCAAACACAGCAACAACAGACAAGCATGCAACAATCCACGCAATGTCAAACAGATCCATTGGACATCAAACCGAATATACAAACACCGAGTCCTGTGAAACAGGAACTTTCTTCTCCTATTCAGGTTCAGATTCAAAGTGGTTCACCTGCAGGACAAGTAACTTCGCCTAGAATGATAGGCAAGGGAACGCAGAGGATCCAGAGTCCTGTAAACACTGGTGGTAATACGACGAAGCAACTCATCAGTCCCAATAGCAACTCGAGTCCTTTAATAAGCCCGAGGCAAGGCGTAAAGAGACGTGCGACTAGTCCAATTTGTAGGCAGTTGAATCGCGGCGATTTGTACGTATTTATATATAAAATTCTGTCACATTTAATAATTTAAGATTCAATGACATATTGATATATTTAATTAATATTATTACTTGCAGATTGGAACAACAGCTAAAAATTGATCAAAATGGTGCAACCAATCCAGATATGAATACACCATTCTCAAGTAAGCGTGATGCTTGCAAACGTTTAGTGAGATACCATTGTTTAAATGAGCAAGTACTAAGTCCCAAGGATTTGGCAAAAGCAGATGAAAGATTTGAGGAGACGGCAAAACATCTGTTGGGCAAATTCAGCGCTATGATGAATAAATACACATACCTCCTTTTAATGGAAAGCATGGTATAAATAATATGATTTATTTATTGAATATAATTATGATTGTTAAATTTAATTTCTGATAGAAATTTTAGTTCTTTGCATATTAATCATGCACAAAAATGTTCCAACTTGACAGTTAAAATATTTAAATCGTTTATATCAATTATTATTGTTCAACTTATTATATTCAAGAAATATTCTAAATATTCCTTTTCAAATAAGTGATTGCATTAACATTTTTGAAATTATAGCGTGAAGTGAGGACATCAGAATTGATGATGATTGACAGAACTTTTGTGGCTGAAGAACAAAATATTCTCAACAGGTTACGAGAACAGGAGGCAAAAGTTAATGGTAAATTATGTGTATTTTTTATTATCTCTATATCGATACAATTATAAAATTAAATATTGCATATATACATGTATTTGTTCCTTCTGGAATTACAAAATTTTCTATTTTGTTATATCTCTACTTATTTCATATTTCAAACATATACATTCGGAACTATACACACACACACACAATACACCATATTGTTTCTATGTTACCTTCATTCCTAACAAAGCTGCTTACTTTCTCTCTTTTTTGCCATGTCTTTCTCTTATTTAAAAAGTTGTTTTTAACATTTTGCATATATGCATGTATATGAATATATATATTGCAAATATAAAATTGCAGAAGAGTTTAAGAAAGAAGAAAAACCGATAGTGCCAAAAGTTGAACCTGGCCTTATAGAAGAGGACAAATCGACATTAACATCACCTCCTCTAGTGAACGTATCTGTCAAACGCGAACTAGAGGATGACTTCCCGAGTGACGAAATGGAATGTAAACCAGTTATTAAGACGACAAGCAGTACCAGTGGCGATTACGATGAGTGGTTGGAAATCCAGAAAGAACTGGGAGTATATCCATCCACTGCAGAAACCTTGAGGTGTAAAACCGGTAATAACGGTAATAGTGGTAATAGTGCGTGTGCTGTTACGGCTGTTACAAGATCAGCGAAAATTGAAAGAACACGAGCGAACGGCGAGTGTCTTCGTGCGAATGTACCTAGTGTCTCGAATATGATCATGAAGGACGATTGTGAGCAAGATGTAACTCCAACGCCTTTCGATAGGCGTTGGAGTAGTGCCACTGATCTCGAGCGAGATTTGTTAGAGGATGCTGACAGCTTGGACGGATTGGCTTTGCATTCGCAAGCGCAATGTCCAAGTAGTACTGTGCATGTAACGAGTAGCGAGAGTGGTAATGCCGGCAACGAGCATGACGAAATTACCGCGCAAGTACAATCTGCCATTGACAGCATTCTCAATCTTAAGAAACGTCCTGCGAACACATTGTCCGGCAGTAGTAGTGGTAGTTCGTCATCGCAGTCCGGCGAATCGAAAGACACTGCGTTGGATCAAGCAGTCCGCAGCATTTTAGGCTCGTGACCCTCCTTTAGTAAAGTATGTTAAGAAATGAAAGTTTATAGTGAATATCAAGCTAAAATTACGCGTTTTAAGAATTTTAGAGGAACTATAAGTCGATTTTTCATGGTTTTTTTTTTTGTCGATATCGTGAATCTATCTGTCATGAGAAATGTGTTTTAAGATCACTGATACAATAATCTTCAGGACGATTGTTTACAATACTGCATATCCTGAAGCGCGCACGCGCGCACACACTCACATATACACACATATACACAGATAGTTATTAAATTATTTGTATAAATCATATGACTTTATATTATTTTATTTATATATTATTCAGCAGAGGCAAACTGGATTATATATACATGTGGTGCAGTATGATACATATATACATATACATATATATATATATATGTATATATATGTATAGATATATATATATTGAACTTTCAATTTATCGAAGATTGTTTTTGCAATGGCAATAATTATTCATAATATACAAACATGTATACTTTCCAGTAGTCTAGCTGTAATAAAGCCACCGCGTAAATCTAATTATAGCAGCAGCTGTACATGTGAATAGATTAGATAGATGACTCGCTCAGATTTTACAATATGCCACTTTGTAATGTAATTTTGTAAAAAGTAATTATTTAAAGCAACTTATTCCACTTTATCGGTAGTACTTGTAAAAGAATCTTATTGATACTTAAAAATGGGTCGGTGAATATTGTACATACGTGTTTTTAAGGTATATTATTAATATTATTATTGTGACTATTATTTGTATTATTGTTATTGAGATTTATTCTCAGAATTATTATTATTATTACTATTAATTAACAACGCATCATCATTGGAAACGACAGTGAGCAAAAAGCGAAAAGTAAAAAGAAAAGAGCATAAGAGACTGATATATAAGATCATAAAAATGTGAAATGCATATGTATTCAAAAAATGTTATCGATGATACAATGGGAAAAAGGGGCGGATAAAATAATGATTCCATATAAAAAGAAATAATAATAATAATTAAATTTCATATAAAAAATGTCGAAAATGTTGAATAAAATTCGTTAATTTTAGGTTTTATTTTTCCAGAAATAAAATTTTGATGAAAATGTAGAATGAAATATCTTATTGAAATATCTTTATTTCGTATATTCAACTTATTTTTTCATGTATATAGATTTACCTTTTTCTCCAAAATTGTGTTTGTATCACCAATAACAAATTATCTTGTATATGTAAAAGAAAAGGGAACATACAATTTTTATGGGTATTACTTTGGATTCATTTCTATTTATGATATATATACAGTCTCAATGTTATGACGCAAAATCAAAGAAACAAACTGTTTCTAAATAGTATATAGTATTTCACGACATTTTTTTCTTTTTTGCCATCACATACAAACTCGCAATACATATGTGAGTAATTGATGGATGTATATTGGAGAGTGCATGTGTGGAAAAAGAATAATCATGTAATGATCGTTGGAATCTTTGAGAAAGTCAAAGTAATTTCTCCGAAATTGATCAGCGTCAGATACATTCCCATATCATATTTTTATTCTTTGTTTTATCGTAATATGTGCACAAGATTTATATACATGTCCTAAAATTATGAGAAAATCGAGACCTAAAATTATTCCGATTTTTAAGAGATTCTTTTACAATACTGGAAAAAACGCGATGATAATATTTTTTGCAGATAAAGTTTTATTATGTGAACTCGCGCGCTTACATATTCTTTTTCTACATATATCAAGAACGACTCTCTATGCACAGTGGAAATGAAGCGTTTTCTGGCAAAAGCAATCCAAGACTGACGTATATACAGAGAAAAACAAGCAAAACTATGTAATGTATTACAGTAAGAAATAATAATCGTTTGTACATACATAATGTTCAATTACACTCTCGACGGCAATCGTGACTTAATAAGAATTCTTCACAGATTTAAAAATTTGGATATACTAAAATTCTTTTGAGCCTAATAAATTGCCGATATTTCACGAGTACATATATAGAGTACGTTATCTTATATCCCTATCTGTGTGCTGCGTTTGAGCGAATATCACATATTTTGCAAGTTGCAATTATTAAGTATTAACAACGAGATGTAACAAATTGTTACTAACAATACAACCGCTGACGAGAGTGAAGACAAATGGTACACACACACACACAGTGATAATATATATAAATATAATTTAAAGGACATTTTATTTTAATTGTTGTCAGTATACCCAAAAAGAGTATCGTTATTTTTATGTAACATAGTGCATTATCTCTATATGTCGCAGGATCATATGTCTTGTATAAAAGAACAAATGGAATATAGTAATAATGAAATTCGAGAGATACAAGCATGATACATAAGATAGTATACGAATAAGTGATCAAATGATAAATCTTATACATATTTCATATCTTGCAGGAGAAGACAATTATGCATAAAAAAAACGATATTGTATATTTTTAAAAGTGTACAACTTTTTAAAGCCGATAAAAAATTCCATGCATCATGTATGTATAAATTGTTACCATTTTATTATTTTATATAAGTATTCTTTTTCATTATTTTTTATTGCACTAATATTCTTAGTTCTGAATATCAACAATAACAGCAGTGCCTATAAGTCAAAAATCAAAACAAGTATAATTTTAATAAGTTTAATTTTTTCTTTCAATATATATATAAATATGATACTCACATATACGAGTAAAATATTTTCCATGTCAAATGAAGATTAGAAATACTTTCCATGCCAATAGTATCATGATTTTATCATACTTATTCAATCGCAGTACTAAAAAGTAATATAAGTATTTTATATCGAAAATCAGTTTTAACTACATTTTTTTTCTTTATTATATATTTTCTTTTTTTCGCAAAGTACATGTATATATATATTTTTAATTTAGATGAGTAGAGAAGCATGCAAGAAAGTGACTAAGAATAACTATATTTCTTTTACTTTTTGCATGCATTAAAAATAAAACCACAATTATATAAAAACATATTTAAAATTTACAAACATGTTTTGTGTGTTCTTTCAGAGGAAACATTTAGAAAGCACGAAAGTGTAGAACAATGTAGTGTGTAGTCACATTTCAAACTCAATATAAAATACGTTTATTTATAGGTTCGCACCTGCGCATACGCGCATATAATTTTCAATATAGCGCCTACCCTCTACTCCATATTCCTTGTATATATTCCGTTTAACGCTATTTTCGCTTCGAAGCGTTTAATGGACCAATCAAGTCAAAGAATTATGCGCTTCAAAATGTCAAAGCATTCTCTTGTCACGTGACCAGTTTTAGTTCACTCATCCGAAAGCAAGCGGCGCTGAAACTGGTCTCATGTTTCAAGATGGAGTTTGTGTATTCTGCATACGATATCGAAAAGTGTGTTCAGTGGATCCAGACGAATTCACTAAAGCAGGTTTGAAAGCACATATACGTTTTTAAAAATATCTCATACATGCATTAATAAAACTATAATTAAAGATTTTTCTTAAAAGATTTATTTTTTTATATATGAAGATTGTCTTCTCTTTCTTGAATGTAAAAATTGAGGTTATACATGTTATAATGTCGCTGGCTAAATAATCTTCCTTTTTCCTTAGAGTAATTGTTTAATCCATTACAAATACAAAATACTAATTTTAAATAAACAAATTTAAAAATCTATAATATAATAATAATCACTTTGAGATTGCTTATAAATGACAGATAAAATCAGGTTAGTTTAACTATTCATTTATGACACACACACATATATATATATATATAT